TCTAAATGTTTGCTTCCTGCTGCTTTATAACATTACGCAAGAATCTAGCCTGAATGTCTCAGCTTGTTCATTATCTAGGGGATCATGTTTTAATAAGGGCTTTTAACAAAGATGCTCAGAGGCAAAGTGTGTCTCTTGCAAGTGTGTAGTTCTGTGGTTACCACAGGGCCCTTTCCTCAAGGAAAGGCAACAGTGTGTGTTTACTGATGGAGTCAGAGGGTGAATAGTTACTTAGGCACTCAGTGCATCTGCTCAGCTTCCAAATGCAAGGCTTCACTGTCTTGGGAGTGGGGTTATTGCCTCCTCTAATGATGTCCTTGGGGTATCTGGAGAAACGGTCTTTTCCTCTCTAAAAAATGTGCCTGGATTCTCAGCTGTTAATGCCTAATCCCAGGTCTCCTGAAAAGTTTTGCCCCATCTTTTCATATTAGTTGCGGAAAGGCCGTTTTTTCCTGAATACMTCAAAACACTGGTGCCTCCTGTACTTTCCTTTCCTACTACCCCTGCCTCACCAACAAACCCACCTAAACACAGTACCTTCGTATCTACTCCCTCCACCTCTGAAATCCCAAAGCAAACCACATACTTGTRTACATGGACTCGAGTGTGCTTAAGCATTCCTTTCTTGGTTTAGGAAGAATCCTTAAGGTTTGTGCCTCTTGGGACTTTATGGCTCAGCAGACTTGCTTCAAGTATGAGCTCTTCCTAATGGTAGCCGTTAATTGATCCAAGTCCTAATTATAACCACAGCAGTATTTTGTGCCTCCTACAACAGTAATGCCATAGGGCTCTTCCTTGTGCTTGGGCAGATAYCATAAACCAAACTGAGACATGACTCATGATAAATGCTAAGCTAAGTCAAGTCAGTGCTACTTTCTTGCTTCTAAAGCTTGTATTGACTAYTAAGGTCTCTCAGAATTGGGATTACTTTAATGAAAACTATTTTAAGCATCTTTGTTTTGTCTCCAGAATCTTAATACTTGTACTTGGACAAATGGAAAGTGTCTTGGAAACKGTTTTCTCACTTTTTGCTCTTAAGTTTATGATGCCGTTGTGAGTCTGTTAGGATTGGAGAGAGAGAAATAAGAGGAAAAGTAGGTAGGTATATCTCGAAAGGGAAAGTGTGCCGCCTTGCTTCTGTTCCTTAGGACAGAACAGGACACTTATAGGAAATGCAGTTACTGGGGCCTTGTGGTATCAGGAGTAAATCCATTTTTGAAAAGAACAGAACAAATCAGTTGTTACAAGTAGTATTATTACATGGTGGGGAGAACACCACCACTATCCCCTGCTCCCCAAATGTCTTCYTTTTCCATTCTTGAACAAGTGCAGAAGGATTTTCCATACATTCACAGGCAAAATTATTTTGCACTACCAAGTTTTTGTATAACTGGATTTTGAGGAAAAAATATGAGAAGGTATTGAATGAAAAACAACCAATGYGTTTTAAGAATTGAAACTAAATATCTGAAATACTACCTTGGTTGGTGAAGTGAGTAGGTTTTGGTAGATAGAAAAGAATTTTGTACCTTTAAAGTTGAGATGTAATGTTAGGAAATTTCCTTGTGAAGCGACATGGTTGTACCTCCAGAAGTCCCATGTAGGAAATATAAGTCACTGTATTTTAAAGTTAGGTAGGAATGTGTTTATGTAAATTAATACTGCTCTGGTGAAAGAGCAAACGCTTGAAAGCCATGGTAGAAATGKTAAGAGTAGCAAATACTGCAGATGCAGAGACCCTTCCATTCATGTTTGTGGCTTCTTGCAAGAAGCCACAAAGTAGCTGYGAGTTTCTCTTCATTGCTGTATTTTTAGAAATGAAGTACTAGACCATAGATTAAGAAGAAACTTGTGCTCAGGATATGTGTGGCATAGAGAACATATTTTCATTATAGACTAAACTAGTAGGAAAAAAAGCTGGAGATTATGTAATCTCATTAAAAAAAAAGTTTTATGAAATCTCTTTGCATTTTTAAAATGAATTAATGAAACAAACACGAGAAAGAGCAGGATGGAGGAGTGGAGAGCAATTGCTGAAGCATCAGACTGCTCAGAACAGTGTGGAAGAAAGCTGGCATGGTCAAAATGCTGTCTGACAGGAGCGGGTCACTACCAGAGTGGYTTGGGATGCTCCTACTGTGTTCACAGGCTCACAGATTTGTTTCTCAGCAACATACGAAATGCTGGTTGGAGGCATTTCAGTAATATTAACTAGAAGACATTTCATAAAKTTTCTGTGGCTTCCACAGATTACAAGTTTTACTTATAAAGCTTWTTCCTTTCTGGCAAAGAGGCTTGGGTGGGGAGACAGGGATTTGCTTCTCTTTTCCTTCTCTAAGGCTATGCTGTAAATGACTTCAAAGAGCAAAGGAACCTGAGGTATGCTGTGAAGGAGGGGGCTCTGTAAACAGCCTAAAGCCATTGCCCTCTGTTAGTTAACAGGGTCAAAATCAAAATAGTAGCTAGAGTTAATATAGCATGGGGCTAGGACATCTCCGTATTGTGCTAATTAAATAATGCTACATAACGGCTAATTCTATAAAAAGGTAGATTGGGAATATTTCCAGTATCAACTTTGGTTTGTGTTTAATGAATTACAGACAAAAACTCTTCCWCTCCTTGACTGCTTTATTTTCCTGTGTGGACCTGATGGCCTCTTGCAGYCCAGACATGTTACTGCTTTCTTTCTAAGAGCAAATCACAGTGGTGGGAGGAAGCTCAGCAGGGAAGCAAAACTCTGAGCCTTTTGAAAGCAGTGTCAGTTTGAAGTTACCTGCTTAAAACTAACATGACATCTGCTATTGGAGCAGCTGGTTAGTAAGCAATTGCTTTCAGCTTAACACAAAAACACCCCCAAAAAAACCTGGCCCAATTGCAACCAGAATGACAGCTGTTGCTTCTGAAATTAAATACAGCAGTGATCAGTGACCCTGACACTTATCTGTGGTTTCATTTCTCACCCTTGTCACACCTAGTTTTACAAGAATGTGAATCTGTTTGCTGGTCTACAGCCAACTGCTTGTCCTCTGCAGCTGACAGAATAGCTCCAGATCTTCTCTGTCAAGGAGATTGCTTTCATAGTGCAGAAATCAAGCTTTCACAAAGATGCCAGATCCAAGTTTCTTGTTTGATGCTTTGTCAAGCAGAAATAAAATTTGAATACATGCTGCATAAGGGCAAAGACTATTGATCATGCAGTGCATGGGGCTGGCATCTTTCCAAGGTGGTATTTGCATGGCTTGCCCTATTTTCTTATGTTCAGAAGTAAACTTGTTTTCTCACACCTGCAGTTGCATAATCTTTTTTTCCTACTATGACTATATACCCTTTGCCAACTTTCAAAAATGCTTATGTGGAAAAAACTTCATTGCAGCAAGGTATTTTAACTGCCTTCAGCAAAATTGAGTGGGAATAYGGAAAGAGGAAAGAACAGCCAGTATCAAATCATCAGCCAACTCTTTAGGCTAGCAGCATGCACTCTTTGRACCTACCTCTGCTCCATAGGCATGTTGTAGTTTTCTGGAATATTGTTGTTACATCCGGAAGTAGTATCACTGTAAGTCCATTAAAAAACCTTTTGTTAAATTAACTTTGTGTGACAGGTAATATTTGAAGTGGTAAACTGTTTTTCCCCTAGTGGGGAATTTGAGGCCTACAGAAATAGGCAATGCCCACTAATTTGAAGGGGAAGAATTATTTTTCAGTTCAGGTTAGGTGCAGCTTCTTCAGAGTCTGATTTTACCCTGACCTTGCTATTAAAGAAAACCATTTATGATGTTTTTGATACTCCATTTATAGCTGAAAATGTCAGCATGTCAAAATTATGATGTAAGTTACTCAGAGAAACATTCCCCAAATGTTTAACTTTGKAAAGTAGCACCTCTGCATCTACAGTGTGTTCTCTGTGCCTGTATTTACCTTGTAAATGTACTGCTTCTCAAAGTTAGCCATGGCTTTTGAAGTTGGCAGTGGATGGATTTACCAGGAGTTTGGTGTGCTGCCTCAGTGTCTGATGCCTGTGTGTTGCATTCTACACTTAAGGTTTTGCCCTTGCCCTGAAGTTTCTAGATTTCTCTGAGAAGATATACTTGAAATGTTAAATATAACTTCCAACTGTATTGTTTTCTCAGTGAATGCAGTAACTCTGGTGCCTTTTTTGGTGATAGGATCAAGTTTCAGAATAAATTCAATAATGTTTACAGAGTGTATTTGGAGATACTAGAGCRCTAGACAGATGTAGACAGGGAGATCCTAGACAGACCAGAGAAAAAACAAAGGCAAGGTCTTGGATCAGATGGGAAAGTAACAAATACTGTGAATTGGAGGTAACACATCAAAAATATAGATACACACAACAAAAGCAAACCTGGGTGGAGGAGAAAACATGGAAACTTTACATATCCACCAGAACATGCTTACCACGGTTAATATACATGTGAAATGGGTGATGAACAACCAGAGCTTAGTGAAATATACCAGTCACAACTGAGAAATGTGATCATTATATAGTTAATTCTGACACTTGACTACAGCTGGAATACTATGCTAAAAGCTGAATATACTAAAGGTGACTGGAATTGAGAATGAAGTTAAACTTGTCAGCTCTATGTATAGTAAACTTATYTTATTTTTTGTGTAAGGCTTACCTGTAGTTCATGCAGATGTAAATTACGAGTTTGACTTCCACTAGATTCTTTCCAAGTGGAAGTGGCTCTAGTATTACCAGGACTTTTATCCTGAAAATATGCATGTCATGTTGGTACAAACAGACCAACATGATAGTGTTTATATAAAATGAAGACCAAAACTATCAAATTCTGCTTTGGCAGCCTTGAGAGTATAGCTATAGGACTTAGAACAGCTGTGGATATTATCTCAATCAACTGTGGATATTATCTCAATCAGCTGTGGATATTATCTCAATCAATCAACTCTTTGAAAAGGCCCAACACAATTGTACTGCTTCTGTACTTACTAAATTTTATAACTTTTTCTTTCAGCTTTATCTTCAGGCAAGAATGAAAGGAGACTGGGCAAGACTTGTACGTCCTACCATACAGTTTGGTCTCATTGCTGCATCTATCTACGTGGGTCTCTCACGTGTTTCTGACTACAAGCATCACTGGAGTGATGTTTTAACAGGACTTATCCAGGGTGCAGTGGTAGCTGTGCTCATTGTAAGTATTCCTGAGGAAGTGTGCATGTGTAAATGCTGCTTTTATGAGCAGCACCTTAGAACTGCAGACAGCATTCAGATGAAGGCTAAACCTGTATTTCTAATGCTTCAAAAATTCCTGAAGCAGGGAAACAACTCCTTGAACTGGGTGTAGTAATAGTACTTTAAAGAGTGAGGCAGGCTCTGGCCTGGTGATACAAGTAGCAGTTTAACTGCTGGACAATGAACTTGTCTCTGCTCAAGAGCTTTTCAAATAACTAAAATGGAAATGGTCAACTGCAAATTGCGTAGGCCTCTCTATATAAACCATGCTTTTTGCTTCCAAATTCTAAATCTCAAGTACAATAGCAGAGAACTCTGTACAAGGTAAATGGGGGGGAAAAAAAAGGTCTTAAAGCTTCGAGAGCATCAAAATGTCTGCCTCTACCATCTTATACGTTAGAATGAGGGCTTTATCTGATGGGAAACTTAAAACACTTCATCATTTCTTGGGTACATTTAGAAGAAGGAGCCTGTGAAGCTTAGCTGTGCAGAGAAGCATAAAGCTGTCCCAGGGAACAGACACTTGCCTAAACTTGTCACAGCAGGCCCAGTTGACTTAGTGGCAACAGTAGTACTGCGTGCCATAGCTGATTCATCCACTGGAAGCGGCAGACCAGAAGGACTTTAGGATCAGAGATGGGAATGAACTGAGGCCATACTGAAGGATTCAGTTATCAGGAACTGAGGCTTAGCTGGGAAGAACCACTCCAAAATAAATGCTGTGTCAGCTTTCTCAGGTCAGAAGGGTGTGGTTCAAGACAAAGCTGTCTACTAGTTATAATCAATAATCAAGTCTTGGAGCAGCTCTAGGAGACCTACAGGCTGCATTAGCTATTAGTAAATGGCTATACGTTGTCATAAATCCTACTTCTCATTTTTGTCTAATCTCTTCTTCCAAGAAAGGAGTTCAGAGAGTAAGAAACATCAGAGATTGAAGAGGAAAGGACACTTTTATTAGAAAAACAAGTTCAGTCAAGGATGTTGGATGGTTCAGAAGGAGCTTAGTAATACAAGAAAAGGTAGAAGGTAGCATTACAATAGGCAGAATTGAACGGTCAGGAAATTACAAAAAAAAACATACACTAGCACCAACCACCACCCCCAAACTCGTATCTGAAAAAACTGGCAAGTTTCTCTCCAGAAACAGTAAGCTGAGGTTAGAGCATGGTGGCGCAGCAATGGCAAATGGATCACTTAAATTTAATGGGGCACCAGGCATTAAGTGGAAGCTAAACTCGCCAGTSTGTGGCTGCAGCAGTGTGCTTGGTCACCACCAGTGGTGGTGGAAGATTTTTCTTCTGCCGTGGACAGTGTTCTGCAGTTATCAGGATTGCAGTGGGAGGGGAAGACACAGTGCAGGAAGGAAAGGGATCATGTGAGGCTTTGGATTTATTGCATTCCATGCAGCACTGTGCTCTGCTATGGGACTTGGTGAAGTGAGCAGTGGAAGACAGCAAGCTGCAGAATTGGATCAAGCACCTGTAGTCAGGGACATTTCTCTTAGCTGTGAAAAAGTGAGYTGGTAGGTTCAAAGGAAGGCAGGAAAGGACTGTGTAGGCAGAGCTGGTCTTACAGCTGCTGGGTCCCACTAAAGCACCAGCTGTTCTGTTCTACATAAAATACAGAAAAAAAATAAACTATATTTGCATTGTGGGCCATCAGAAAGCACATTTTGCTCCTTCATTTAGAGTTGTTCAAACTATGGCTGTTGTAGTGAAGCTGTGCCTGATAAGGCAGTCAGCAGTTTGTTAGCCCAAGCCTTGAATTTGGCTTAAACTATCAGTGGGTAAATGCTCAAGGGCAAGGAGAAAAAGCTTTGAAAGAACAGAAGTCTGAATTTTGTACTTCCTAGGCACTTTCTAATGTTTTAAACTGATAAGCTTTTTATTTGTTCTGATCATAGAATTTGCCTTCTGCAGAGCCACTGTTTCAAAGACTAACGACTGCAGGAACTTAACATTAATTTGTTCACTTAGGTTGTGTATGTGTCGGACTTCTTCAAAGTAAGGGGATGTACATTTCAACCAAAAGAAGATTCCCACACAACCCTCCATGAGACTCCAACAAATGGAAATCACTTTGGCAGCAATCATCAACCATGAAGAATGACCACATCACCTGTGTTGCTCTGAAAGAAAACAATTTCACAAGTCTAACTATGTAATATAAGTAAATGCCTTTAAGGGACTGCTGCTGCTCTTGGATGCTCACTTTACCTGTATATAGTAACATCTACCACAGTTATTGTATATCTAAACTTTGGATTTCTGTTGGTTCAAGCTCTTGCTTAAAAGAAAGCTATTAAATTGTAAATTTTTATTGAAAACAGTAACAAGTTATATTACATACACTGCTGTTTGTACATGCCTTGTTGAATCAACTGTGGTTTAAGTAAACACCATTAAAAGGAATTACTTGATATGGAAGCCACATGTGACGCTGATGAATTTGTTCCATCATGTCAGTATAGGTTCTGGAAGACATCTGCTGTTACAGGTAAAGGCTTGCAGCAAACACAATATCTCTCTTGATTTTTGTAATCCCTGTTAAGAAGGAAGAGCATATTAATATCTTAAAAATCTTAACTGACACAGCCACTATCTTAAGTACAGTTATATACACATTACAAGTATTAAATGGAAGTTAAATTTTAAATTTTCAGCCACAATCTTGGTTAAACTGGCAGTATCCACCTCTTTAAGCCAAACTTCGTAACACAGATGTGATCTGGAAGGGTAACAGCAATGCTGCTGTTCACCATGAACTCAACACCAGAAGTTCACATTACATAATTATTCACTTCATCCCTTACTATCTGTGCAGCCCCTTCCTCCCCATCACTTTTTCTTCTAAAATTGCTTCATCTATTTTGAAAGTGACATACATACCCTCTGCAAACTTGTTTTCCAGTTCTGTGTTCCCAATGGCTTTTGCAGCCTGACACATCTGTCGAAGCAATTCTTCTAGACGCCTCATGCACCGAATTATGCTACCTGCATGAAAGAGCAAAGGAAAACTTTGTGCCACATGATGTCACTACCTGAATTACTCAAAACTAATAGTTCCTTCAACAACCCCAAGAAGCCAAATGTCTTAAACTTAGTTTCTCTTTGCACAGTAAATTTCTTTGTGAGGCATTTCCTTGAAGCTGTTTCCAAATGCTTGTCCTTTGTAATGTCTTTACAGTGTCTAATATCTAGTCATAGGACTTTCTGGACTACTGAGTAATTCCTAGTGGATTTTTCTTTAAGTATGAGTATTATGGATTCACAAATCTGCTGCTTCAAGAACTACCACAGATTTATTTTGGATTTTTTTTTAGTAAGCTTTAGTTGGCAAAGGCAGTGMAATAGTAAATGATCTATCTTAGTACTCCTGTGCCACTCAAGAGTGTGTGGCTCACTCTATCACTCAATCGCATGGTTACAATAATGCACATAAGCATCTTGACACACCTCCTACACTGTAAACCAACACCCACTCGTGATTTAYTACACATTCATCTCCTCTTTGAACTTGTCCTTGCAGCTCAGCCCAAGTCACTGCTACAAATTTCACAAAACAATCCTAAATGCTTCTGCTCTTCTTGCCACAAGCAAACAGTATCTTGTTCCACCATTTCCTCCAGCAGCATCTCCTACAGTCAAAATTACTGTAGGCAAAGTAACTTATTGAATAAAAATGGGGTGAAGGGCTTGAGAGCAGCACTGCTGCAATGGACCTGGGGGTGCTGCGAATGAGAGGCTGTACATGACCTATTAAAGTGCACTTGCAGCCCAGAAAGCCAAAAGTGTCCTGGGCTGCATCCAAAGCACCGTGGCTGGCAGGGCCAGGGAGGGTATTCTGTCCCTCTGCTCTGGTGAAACCCCACCTGCCCTGCTGCATCCAGCTCTGGGGTCCCTGCACAGGAATGACATTGACCTGTTGGAGTGAGTTCAGAGGAGGCCACCAAGATGATTGGGGATGAACAGATCTCCTTTGAGGACAGGCTGAGAGAGTTGGGGTTGTTCAGCTTAAGGAAGAGAAGGCTCCAGGGTGACCTTATTGTGACCTTTCATACATGGAAACATTCAAGGTCAGGTTGGGTGGTGCTCTGAGGAACCAAATTTAGGGGAAGATGTTCCTGCTCACTGAAAGGGGTTTAGACTAGATGATCTTTCTATAATACCTCTAAAGCACAACATTTGGAAGACTGTATGAAAAGAACATTCTGCAAAGCTCTTGGGAAAGTGAGACATGGTAGAAAATAAAGTAATGCTTCTCTTCTACAAAGCATTCATAGGCCCTCAATAGGTCATGTCAGTTTCGACAGTGAGAAGAGTTTGTGTAAGAGCAGCAATCTGTAAAACCTGTTGGTATGACACGAGATGTGAGAAAGGAAAACCCACAGGACATGAGACATGAGATAGTAGGTTTCCTGTGGGTTTTCCTGAGCACAGAACACAAACCAACATGAGTGACCTGGGGGCAGCTGCCCTGAGTAAAGCCTTGCTGCACTGTGGCAGGCGCTGGCTCAGCTGTTCAAAGATCCTGCTCACCTCCATTTACAGGGGCAACCTGAAAACCATTTCAGGGAGTACTTGTTTACAGGCAGCATAGCTGGGCTTGCTGCAGACAGAGTTTTTTGTGCAATAAAAAGAAAATTGCAAATTTAAAATAATTTACTATTTCCACAAAGCAAGAGTTGGTCTGCAATTAACAGTTTTAATTAATTCAGTTTCCCATTCTTCCCTAACAGCTTAAAAAAGCTGCCCTTGTTTTTATTTCTTCCCAATATACATATTTCAACTTAAAGACAAAGTATTTTCATTAGCAAACCAATACTACTACCCTTTAAAGCAAACACACTTGCTCTTGGAGCATTTGGGCTTGTTTTGTGTTCTGATTTTCTTTGAAATCACTACAGTTACTTGCATAACCAAGGCAAACTACTCTGGGATTTAGGAACACCACAATGCATTTAAGGTACTCATAACCGACAACAGATGCTTGAGGCACTTCCCTTCCTTTTGCTAAGGTACAGAAAACTAGCCTTCAGAAAGTTAAGGAAAGAATCATACATTGACGCCTGCCACAAGAGCTACCTCAAAGCAGGCAGCTCTAATTTTGAAGGAGCTGGCACTATTGAGCAGAAGCTGACTGCCYTTGTACAAATATGGCAAATGGAAAGTGCTACTGTCGAGTGTATTCTGAACATTCAAGTGTCAGTGTAAAACAGGCCAGCTACTGCTGCTTTAGTGTTCTGCATACTCAGTGTGCCTCCACAGCAAACAGAAGGCTCAGATACTGCAATTGCAGGAATCTACTGAATGCATGCAGAAACAAAGACTGCATTGGATTTGTGCTGCTCAAAGGCAATTTACATTAGAAACTTTCTGGGTCTGCACTGGAATACATGCACAAATTATGTGCATAAATTATGTGCCCTTGTTTTAGGGCAATTTATAAACGTCTGCAAACAAGATAACAGCATTTGAGAAAGGCAGCGGTGACAGTACAACTTCAAAAAGGAATACTTTTAAGACTGGCACATCCATCCTACTGTTCTTTACAACTTCCAGCAGGCTGGTTTTTATTCTGTTTTGACCTTCATGGTTTGTTTACAAAGTACCAGGACTCTAAATCATCATAAATCATTTGGTTACCACTTCTCACTTCTGTCCTCATTCAGTCAGCYGGAGGAACTGATAATACCAAATAAATAAAAAAACTTAACTACAATGAGGACAAGTGCAAGAGCTGTACTTCCTGATGACAAGCATTTGGAACATGTTTTTTCCCTTTAACTAGAAAAAGTAAGCATTACCTTTTGTTGTAATGCTTAGAATCTGAGTTTTATAGAAAGTTTTTAGAATACAGAGATATCCCTTTCTTAGATTCTAAGTTATCATCAGTGTGTAAGTATAAATCAACACATAAAGTAAATGATTTCTTTCCTACTGGGTTTTAGCCATGCAGATGCTTGAATACATTTGAGTCTACTATAAGGTTATTTGGTATTACCATTCCYTCTTGTACAGTTACCAGCTTGTACCTTCTAAAGAACAACTGATTAGCCTACCTTCAAACACATCTGTCATTTTGCAGATGTGAGCAAAGTTAGCTCCATTTGCCCATGTATACACAACATCCATTAGGTTGGGTCTGAAAGAATTTAAGTAATTTTCTTCATCAATTTCCAGTTTTGCTTCTGCTGACACTTTGGCAATTCTTTTTGCACACTCCTTTAAAATAAAATATTTTATATTTTTAATATACTTAACCAGAGTAAGTATTTAACTGACAGAAAGACATGTGCATTATCAGATATTGCATTACAGGATGAGGTTTACTTTGTAGTGTGAAATCACTCAGAATCAGAAAGGAAACCACTGTTTACATGAAGTCTGCCTGCACTAAAAATCTACAAAAAGTGTAATAAGCAAGTTTATGAAAATTTTAAAGGCACATCCTAAATTAGCATAAAGCTTTCTTGCAAACAATGTAACACATTATTACACACTGCAAAATGACATGCAGTGCCAGCTAAATTCACTGAAGATCTGAAGTTAGGTCTTTACCGTGTACTTGYTATACATTATTCATGAGCTTTGCTCATGTTAACATTAACCCTGAGCACAGACAGATTTCTCATTACCTGCATTTGCCGAAGTGGTCCTGCCAACTGCTCAGTCAATTTCGGCATTTCACTGGACTGAAAAAGAAGACATAAAGATTCTCACATGCTCCCACACATTTGCTGTATACCAAATTAAATGCAAAACCAGAAGTTCAGTGTGTGATAATGCCATCCGAAATTATTCCAGTAACACCTTCAAACCTGTTATCAAACACTAAAATCACCGAATTCCCCAAATGCTTGTTCCCCAAACTAAATCAGAAAATGAAATCTTTCTGTGTCATATACCAACATTATGAAGACCAGCACCTGCTTTCTGGATACTTCCAAAATTCCCTCCATTTAGTTGTACCATAATTTTGAGGTGACAAATGAACTGCCATCTATTACTTTGACAGTAAAAAGCTTTTCTTTAAGAATATAAAAAGAAAATGTTTTTAGTAATTTAATCATCAATGGAAATGTATGAAAATACGGCTGTTCAAAATAMAGGAACATCTTTATGCCCTAGCTGTTTAGACTCAAGTACTATTGTTGGGTGAACCTCAATATTCTAATTAACAATGGCTTATCTTGGCATCCCTTCTACTAACAAATGGAATGCATTGGCATCTGCTGCTAATGTGGTTTTTTTTTCCATATTTAGAATCAACATGAGTGATACATTTTGCTAGCTACTTGCAAAAATATTTCATATTGGAGTTTATTGTCTTTTGGGGATGATACTAACCTTGTACACAGCTTGCAGGTGGAAAAACAATAACACCTGGTATTAAATGTCCATGTTTTTGCTTTTRAAAGCATATGGTCT